TCTCGTCCTCTCCCGAGTCTAACCATATAAAATTCATCAAAATCGGACTCCGTTTGGTCCCTCAAATCCTCACTTAAACTCTCCAAAACTCAAACCCTAACTCCCTCAATTTCACTTTGAAATCATCAATCAAATCCCAAAAACGAAGATGGATTCATGAAATATAACCAAAACTAAGTAGAGAACACTTACCCCAATCCGAGCTCCCCAACTCAAAATATGACTGAATGAACAAATCCTCGTTTTATATATTTTATTTCCAGCTATTCTGCCTCGTTTCTCGTGCCTAAAGATCCCAAAACTCTCTTTTTATGCCTCCAATGAATTCCTTGTGAAATTTGAGTCAAGTTAGACTTTTGAATCACTCAATTTGACTTTATAATGAAGAAGATATGTAGGTTTTAATATTTGCAAACCGTGTAGATTTTTAAATACACCATTAGTGGCAATTTCGTAATTAATCTGAAAAAAATCTGGCAACCTAATTCTTAGTAAAATGATCATAAAATCCTTATACGATGTCAAAATTCGATGATTGTTTTTGCTACGGGTCCGTAATTACGATACGGATCTAATGCTGCAATCAAAAAAGAAATAGGAGCTTATTTGTTCAATATGATACCATTTACACTTGAAGAAACGGCGTCGAAACATAAGAAAAACGAGCGCAACACAACCCAAACCTATCCGAACTCACCCGAGGCCCTCGGGACCTCAACCAATAATTTCAACAAGTCATATATCAGTACCCGAACTTAGTCGAACCTTCGGAACACCCAAAACAACACCAAAACATCAAATCAACCTTGGATTCAAGCATAAGAACTTTTAAACTTCCAACTTTCGCCAATTCAAGCCTAATTCTACCACGGACCTCTAAATTATATTTCGGACATACTTCTAAGTCTAAAATCACCCAACGAAGCTAATCGAATTATAAAAATCTACATCCGAATTCGTTTACTCATAAGTCAACTTCCGGTTGACTTTTCTAACTTAACTTTCTAACTAAGAGACTAAGTGTTCATTTCACTCCAAAATTACTCTGGACCCAAACCTACCAACTCGATACAACTCAACACCGCTGAATAATACATAAAGAAGCAAGAATGGAGAAACATGGCTATAACTCTCGGAACGACTGGCCGGATCGTTACAATGTGCATCACATCAAGATTATGCATGGTGATATTTATTTCCGGTAAGGCAAGTTTCAAAATATGTACTTCTTCCATCCAAATCAACTTATCTTTTAAACTCTAGCGTTTATCCTCTCAGAATGAATGCCAACTTTTTTGAGCCACTAATCCTCAATCTCCTTAAGTATTTGTAAAACTGCCTTGTCAATGATACTGCCTTTTGTGTTGTTCTTTTTCTAGTTTTTTGTTAAAAGGGGAGAAAATAAGGAAAAAATAGAGTAAAAAAAGTCACTATATTTAGAATTTGTAAATTTGTGATGGATCAGTCTATTGCCCTTTTACAATTTCTCAAAATAGGGTAAAAGAAGGATGCCCAGTCAGAGTCACAATATAATTTTACCATATAATTTTATCAGTCTTTAAGTATCTCAACAGGCAATAGGCTGCCTTTAGATGTGGTTCTCTTGGATCTTGCATGAATTGGCTCAGATGCTAAACACTGAAAGTTATATCCAATCTTGTGTTGGTTAAGAAATTCAGTTTCCCAACCAATTTTCTGTAGCAGCTAGGATGTGACAGGGGAGCTTCTTCCTTTACTTTGAGTTTCACACTTGATGATAAAGGATTGCAACTGAGACAATCATATTCTTTTAGGAGATCAATGACAAATTTTCTTTTGGAAACAATGATTCTATCATTTTTGTAGAGAATTTCCAGTCCAAGTAAATAGTGTAATCTTCCCAGATCCTTAATCTTGAAACTATCATGTAAGAACTTCTTGAAAAGTTTTATTTTTCTGAATCTATTCCAGTGAGTATCACATCATCAATATACACTGCTACATACACCAAAGATATCCCATTATTTCTGTAGAATAATGAGTAATCATGCATAGAATGCCCATAACCTATCGAGCAAAGTGCTTCTATTAATTTGGCATACCATTGCCTACTGGCTTGTTTCAGGCCATATAAAGATTTGTTTAGCTTACAAACCAGCCCTGATTCATGCACCATTAACCCAGGTGGGATTTTCATAAACACTTCCCCATTCAAATCTCATTGAAGGGAGGCATTATTCACATCTAGTTGAAACATGGCCCATCATCTCTTCACAGCTACTACTATAAGTCCTCTCCGTTGGTCATCTATTCCATTGGTGAGAATGTTTCTTTGTAATCTATTTCTTCTTGTTGTATGTATCCTTTGACTACCAAACGAGCTTTAAACCTCTCAATACTTTCATTGACTTTATGCTTCACTTTATACACCCACCTACAACCTATAACTTTCTTTCCTGCTAGCAATGGGACCAAGTCCCATGTGTGATTGATATGTAATGCCTCAAATTCCTGTGTCATGGCTACTTTCTAAGTATGATTAATAGCAACCTCTTCACATGAAGAAGGTTCATTATCATGACAGACACATTGCATCAAAGACTGGCTACTATGGATTAAAGCTTCAGGAGAGACAAATTGATGGTTTGAAAGTAAGGCATTAAGAGATGGTATACAACTATTGGAATGTAGTTTAGGCATAGTATGAATGTAGTCATTTAAGTATGCATGTGTTTTTATTTCTCTTTGTGTTATTCTAAGTACAAGAGTGTTCTGATTATCAATTTGAAGTGAATGATCATTCAAAACTGGTGGTGAGTGGTCATCAAAACTGGATGTTGAAGGTGACTCTAAAGGTGAGTGACTATCAGACTTTGCAACTTGACTATTGTTAGGTGATATAGGTGAGATATTGATAGGTGATAGTTCATTGTCCATGGGACTTGCACCATTTGGATTGTTTTCTACATTGACTTGGATACTTTCATTAACATCATCTGCAAAATCAACAAAAGGAACACATTTTAGTACAGAAGGAAAAGAAGAGACATCTGGTACAATTGCAAAAGGGAAAATATTATCATGGAAAGATACATTTCTTGAGACTTGTATTTTCTTGGTAGCAAGACTCGGGACGTTGTACCATTTGATCCAAAATTATAGCCTATGAAAACATGTGGGGTAACTCTAGGCTCAAATTTATCCCTGTGTACTTTGGGTACTGTTGGGTAGCACAAGCATCCAAAACTTCTCATTTGGGAATATAGTGGTTTGTTTTTGTATAGGAGTTCAAATGGACACTTGTTCTTAAGATATATAGTGGGCAGTCTATTTATAATGTAGGTTATTGTCAACACACACTCTCTCCAGTATTTCAAAGGTAACTTTGACTGAAATAGGAGTGCCCTATCTGTTTCAAGTAAGTATTTGTGTTTTCTTTCTACCATATTGTTCTGTTGTGGTGTATAGGGACAAGATTTTTTGTGAATGATGCCTTTTGACTGAAAAAAAAGAGTTAACTTCTGTGTTGGTGAACTTTAGACCATTTTCTATTCTTATGGTCTTTATGGTAGTTTTGAACTTGTTTTCTATCATGGAAACAAAAGCTTTGATGATTTGAATTGCATTGCTCTTGCAGGTTAAAAGGTGTGTCCATGTGGTCCTACTGAAATCATCAACCATAGTGATGAAGTACTTATAGTTATCATGAGTAGTGGTGTGATAAGGACCCCAAAGGTCAACATGTAGTAATTTAAATATACTACTGGATGTGCTAGTTCTCTGGGGAAAGGGCAATCTATTTTGTCTGGTCATAGGACAAATAGAGTATACAAAAGGTTGTTTGGAAGAAAAAATGACAGGTATAGATGCTATTCCCTTTATTTTCACAAAGGGCACATGCCTAAGTCTATTGTGCCACAAAATATCATTCTCATGATATGTACAAGAATTCAAAGGAACACGATTTATTCACATATGGAGAAATATTTACAGTAGTACTGTTACTAGAAGAAGGGGCATTCATAGATGCAGTTTTATTCAGAGGTGAATTATATACAGATGGAGAGTAGACAACTTGCATATTACATGGATAAGCAGACAAATGGGGAACAGAACTGATTGTGACAGAAGAAGAGCTTGTATCCTTTTATTTCAAACATTGAGATCATATGAGGTAAAGTCCACTCTTGACTCTACCAATCTCCAGAGGGCTCTTCAGTGAAGGGGCATGCAACATACAAGCACCATTAGTGATGAATGAAATTCCTCCGTGATTTAAAGTCAACAAATAAATAGAAATAAGGTTATATTTGAAAAAGGGGACAAGGAGAACTTTGTGCAACACAATCCTAGGTGCAAGTCTCACACTTCCAACTTCTGTTACTATAGCTTTATAACCATTTGGCAATATGACTAATAAGGGGTAAGGCAGAATAATGATATCATACATTGAGGATCTATTGAAGGTCATGTGATTTGAAACTCTTGAATCTAATATCTATGTATCAGTTTTTGATTTAAAACACCTACATGATAGTTTACCAAAGTCAATTGAAGAGGTACAAACTACAATACCTTCAAAGTTTGAAACTCCAGAGTTCAGGTTCATGTTGTTAGAATTCTCTCCTCCACTATTGGCACTATAGAAAATACCTTTTTTCCTACTATAATTTTTTACTACAAAATATCAGTCGTAAATTTCCTACCACTATTGTCGAAAATCTCATATTTATTTTTTTATTTATTTCTAAGAATTATTCCGACTATATTTTCGACTAATATAATCGTAAAGCTTCGCCGAAAATTCCGCGCATAGAATTTTTCGACTACTGTAATCGGAATATTATATAGGAAAGTCAAATAACTTTTGATCAAATGGTCCCGACCGTGGTAGCCAGAATTTTTTTTTTAAAAAACATTAAATAATATATATTTTCCGACTATATTTGTCGAAATATTGTCAAACCTAATTTTGTGACTACTATCGTCGGAAACTTAAATTATTTTTTGCCTAATTCCTTTACTTTTCTAATACTTTTTTCCCACACACGCTCTTTCTTACTCTCTGTCTCTCTCTCTCTACACGCTCTCTTCGGCTCTCCAGTTAATCAACGGCGCCGGCGAAATCAAATCCAACGGCACCGGCAAAATCAACGACTGTTCTTCATCAGGTAGGATCTCTTTCTCTCTCTCTCTCTCTCTCTCTCTCTCCCCGTTTAATCTTCGATGACGACTTAGGATTTCACTTTTAGTGTACAAAATCAGCGGCACTACTATTTTAGTGTTAAAAACTTAGCTTAAAAAATAATTTGACTGGGTTTGTTCTCTCATGGTCAAACAGTCGATTGTTGTTGACTGGGTTTGTGATATTTTGAATGCTTTGTGATTGTTCTTGAAATTTAAATAGATCTTAGAAAGAATATTATGATGGAATAATTAAATGATAATGAGATTTGTACTTTACATTTGGTGCGAAAATTAAGAGTGCCTAACAAAATATCACAAACAGACCACTTTGATTTATTCAGAGTGCATTGATTTCTGAAACTTTGGTGTTCCTTTCTGTATATCATTCAACATCACATGGTATTTTACACTATAATTTATAAGTTTAGTGTAAATTGAGTAGTTTTATCCGTTAATACATTTTTTGAGAAATTGGGGAATCATTTGTTTTTTTTGCGCTCGTCCCCTAAATTTTTGACCAATCGGGTATGCTTACTGGGGCTGATTGTTGAGCTATTTTAAGTTCGTGAATGGAATTCTTGTTTGATTTTGGGATCATTTTGACTGTAATGGGCAGCCTCCTTGGAGTGAAATTAGAAGTTGAATGTATAGGAATTTGTCTCTAACAAGAGGAAGTTACAGGCTGCAAGGCAGAGGGGAGATACTATTTTGGTTAGCAATTTCATTGTTATAACGTATGAAATCTTTACTAGTTTGCAATTCTAACTAATCTTGAACTAGAGCTACGAATATCCACTGTGAAACTTTTTGCCTAACTTACTTATGATGCGAGGTATAATTCTTGCAATCTCTTGATGTTAACTCTCTTGATGAAGAAGAATCCGGAACTGCACCTCTTTAAAAGCTCGTTTATTTTTCTAAAAAATATTATCTGGGTTAAGATAGATCAGTAGTAGTATTGTACCATAACAAAAAAGAAGAAGAAGATAGATCGGTAAAATATGGTAAAGGAGATGGTAGAGATACACAGATGGATTGGAATTTGAAACTTGTTACTCAAGGATATCTATTAGTAATATAATTGTAACAATAACACCAATTTTAAGTTTTATCTCTTGAATGTTGCTCTCATGAGAGACAAAAATCCTCTACTTTAAGTTATATATTTTCTTTTAGTCAAGTCACGTTGAAACTTTGGTGCAAAAGCAACTGCACTATGTTGATCCATACTTTTTCATTGTATTATAGTAATTCATATATAAGGATGCATATTCATATGATGTCCAGAAAAACAAAAGAAAAATAGTCATACTTAACTGCTTAGTTTATATCACTATTGTTGCTACTTGTAATTCAAAAGGGAAAAAGAAAATAAAAGTAGAATCAGAAAAACATGGAGGAGAAGAAAAATCCTAGAAGCTAGCTAACAAACATGCACACTTATATCTTTTTTCAAAATAATTAAGCATACCTCAAAAACTATGCTGTTGTTTGAAAGATCTTGGAAAAGTAATTAACAGAGAATGCTAGTGTGAGAGAATTCATGTAATCAACCTAACTTTTATTGTGAAATTTTAAATTTAAAGAGTCATTCATAGTTAAAATGTTGAAGGTATTACAATTATTCAAAGTGGGAACCTGTAGAAGAATATCTCAATTTGTATTATTTTCTTAGATTTAGTGGTGAGGGTAGTAAAAAGAGTAGAGAATAATTTTAAAAATTCTCGACTCAATGAAATGATGAGAGATGCTTTTGAGATGTTCTCAGGGGCTCAATCCGAACCAAATGATGAGGCTAAGCGCTTTTATGGACAACTAGAGGAAGCTAGTCGCCCACTGTATGAAGGCTCAATGCATTCCACCAAAAGTTATTGTCGGAACTATGTGAAACAGTCTAAGTTCACATTGCTATAGTGAAAACATTTATGAAAAAGCACATGTCCCACTCTTATGATGTTGAAGAGACTGAATCTGATGTCTAGTAGTGTGTTTTGGTTGATTATGTTCTTGGGTGTTTAGAATTTATATTTAGACTTTATTTGTAAGTTTAGATATTGTGGTATACATGTTTAGACTTTATTATATTAGAGTCGATGTGTGTCAGCTACTTAGACTTGATATTGAATATTTAGATTTTAATTAATGTTTTAGTTTGATATTATAGGATTTGAATGATTTAATAGGTTAGTTGAAGTTGGAATTAGTTGGTTGAAGTTAGAATTGGTTGGTTGAATAGGTTGAATTGATTGGTTGTATTAGTTGTTTATTGTTGTGGCATGCTAATAAAATAGCAGTATTCTGCCAAAACTCAACCCAGATTTTCGACTACTATAGTCGAAAAATGTGCACGAAAATTATGATTTTCCGACTACAGTAGTTGGAAACCTCACTGAAAATTTTCACAAAATTCAAAATTCCGACTACTTTGGTCGGAAAATAAAATAAATATAAATAATAAATAATAATTATTTATATAATATTCCGACTACAATAGTCGAAAATATATTTTAAAATAAATAATTATTTTATTAATTTTTCGACTACTGTAGTCGGAAAATAGCGCCCTTTTTCGAATTTTTGGCGGAACAAACTTTCAAACTACTATAGTCGGAAAGTTTTTTCCGACATACCGTTTTCTGACTAATGTAAATCAGTTGGAAAGTAGTTGAAATAGGTACTTTTTTGACTATTTTGGTAGTCGAAAAATAGCGAATTTCTAGTAGTGTAATTTGGAAGTGCTGCAATAAGCTCACGAGTTGACCATATTGTTCCTTGGTGAAACTCATTCCCTGATTCTCATCATGGTGTTCATCTCCATCTCCATTACCAGTTACCATGTCAGTCGAAGGACCATGAATATTTTCCACTTCTTTTTCCTTTATTGAATCTGAAACCTTGATTGGGACTTTGGAAATTTTGATTAGTTCCTTGAAGTTTCTGGTTGTGGTTCTAAAAGGACTAGCTAGAACTTTGGAAGTTTTGAGGATAACCATGGAGTTTATAGCATTTCTCTTTGGTGTGCCCTGGCCTTTTGCAATACTCACATGTGGGACGAGATCTACTATTGAAAATGTAGTTCTTTCCTGGGTTGTAGTTGGTTCTGAAACTAGGCTATTTGGAGGTGTTAACATTCAATAAGGCAGATTCAAATATCAACTGATTGTTAGGTTTGATTTCTCTTTGCTTTTCTTCTTGAATCAGTAAGGAAAAGGCTTGATCCAAGGATGGTAAGGTATTCATCAAAAGGACGCTTCCTCTCACTACAGTATATACCTCATTCAGTCCCATGAGAAACTGAATCAATCGTCTGTCTTGTTCAGCTTTATGCATATTCTCTTTGGCTCCACATGTGCACTGACAAATACACAGAGTTTTTGCACTTAAGGTACTCAACTCTTCCCACAATTCCTTCATTTTGATGTAGTAACCAGTAATATCTAGTGCTCCTTGTGACAAATTATTTATCTCCTTTTGAATTTGATATAGCTTTGCACCATTCGTCTGATCATAACGATCCTTCAACTTTTTCCACAGCTCAAAAGAATCATTGACATACTCTACACTATCAGCAATTTCCTTCCCCAAAGAATTTAAAATCCATGAGGTGACCATATCATCACACCTCTCCCATAGTCTATACTTTGGAGACTCTAGATCTGATTTCTTACAGTCTCCATTAATAAACCCTAGTTTGTTCTTAACAGACAGCGCACGCAGTACACTTCATCTCCAAGACCTGTATCCAATTCCATTGAAAGGAGCTGGTACTAATATCGCAACAGGATTGTCAAATGGATGAATGTACAAGGGACTGCTCGAGTCAATGGTGGACTCTTTGTTTGAGTCCACATCAATATGCTCGATTTTGTCATCAATAACCGTGAGAATTATTTAACCAACAGTGTTTGAAGGAAAGTAAAGTAGAGAAATAGAGATGACTTACTATGAACCCTAATTTTGCGGAGAGAAGGAATTACCTCCAATTACATATGTAGATCGAGCAATCGATGATCTACACGAGCTTCGTATGTGTAAGACTACTGGATCAGATTATCCACTGCTCTGATACCATATTAAAATCAGTGACGTAATGAAGCAATTGAACTCGAGGTATGCTCCAATTATGGAAATGGAAACTTGGCGAAGAAGCCCCAAATTAGGGGCATGTGCGACAGCAGAGAAGAAGAGAACTTAGAAGTGAAAGTCTCAATTGTATTGACTATGTAATGTCGTATATATCAGTGTTTTAAAAGGTGTGGCGTAAGGCTAGGCATTTTACATATACCTCAGCGGGGCGTAAGCCCCATAGGTATTTAATTTTTAATATTTTATGAAATAATATAATTACCGTAAATATTTATAAATAGGTAAAATTGCATAAAAATGAAAAAAACTATATGTGTGTGTGTGTGTGCGCGCGCGTGTGTGTGTATTTCATCCCCACAAAATCTAGTCAAAACAATCTATTATACGCTACTTAGAAGCTCAAGTAACTTGAGTCGAAAAGAAAAAAAGTTTTCTATATGGAAAAACAAAAAGGATAACTAACCTATAATGTGAACGTTGAACTTGTTGCTACGAAGGAGAATGAAGTTCTCTTTGTCTTTGTAATTTTTTTTTAATATTTGTTACTTTTTGGAGATATTAGCAGACTAGCGGAAAAGATAAAGAATTGGGAAAGACCATGAATTGGGGCTTTAATCAGTAAAAAAGGTTTTGACTTTTAAATTTAATACATTTCAGTTCCTTTTTAAAACTTTTGAGTAATTACCAAGCGGAATTTTGAGAATTTGGGTATTATATAAATGACTTATTCAACAAGTTTTGTTTTAATTTAAAAAAATATTTAGGGCTTACGCTGCACTAAAAAAATGCGTCCCAAACGCCCGGCCGTACGCCCCGAACGTCCGGGCGTACGTCCCGAATTGCTGGACGTACGCCTCTTGAGACTTTCGCCCCACACCATCGCCTCAGGGCTTTTTTAGTGCGCCTCGCCCCAGGGCTCGCCCCGAAAACGCCTTTTAAAATACTAATATATACAACTACACAATCAAAAGGAAACCACAACTAACCGACTAACTAACTAATGTAAACATAACCGAATCAACTAACAAAGCTAACTGAAGAGTACAACTGCTAAAGCTATAAATAGTGTAATACATCTCAATACAATTAACATGTTCAACTCTTCTCTTAATAGGGCAAACTAGGACTGTTAATTTGGAGCTCGGGAGTAAATTGTGAAATCTTTGGGAGATGTTACATATTTCGATTATTGCAAGTCTCTCTTTTTTCTTAATTTTTTATTAAGTCCAACTTCTCCCCCTCTCCCCCAATTTTTTTTCTCAAAACCTTCTTTTGAAATAAGGATTGGGGTTTGAAGATTATTCTATGGTTCGATCTTTTTGATATGATTACTTTCACATTTCAATGACGGTGTTTGTTGCTAGGTGATGAAACAATATTATTGGGCACCTTCGAACTAATTAAAAGGGAATTTTTAAGATACATTCGTTAAGTGAACACAACATTTAAATTGAATACAAAGAATATTTCCGTCTACTCTGAACCTAAGATCTTTGGACTTCCTCTTTAACCGGCTTTATTTATATCAAAATGCACTGATTTCTTCTACTCTTTTTCGTGAGAAAATGCATAAATACTCCCCTAAACTATGATCATATTTCCAACAGCACACTTTCCTTTAAGGGTGGGGGTTCTATTATCTCCCTAAACTATTTTAGAGTACAATTATTTCCACCCTAAATGCTTATGTGGCGGTGTGTGTATTTACATGAGGTTCTTTCGAAAACAAGCCGGAAAAAATTTTCGCGTCCACCTTAAATGCTTATGTGGCGGTGTGTGTATTTACATGAGGTTCTTTCGAAAACAAGCCGGAAAAAATNCCAGAAAAAATGGAGACCTTGAAATTCTAACGATCACCATTTTTCAGCTTATATTCTTTCTTTCTTTCTTTTTCTCTTCCTCCCACACATAAATCACACTTTCAAGAAAAAAATTATACATATATAAAGAAAACATACTACAAGAAAATTGCGTATTACATGAGGATTTTCCTTGGAATTATAAAAGAAAATCCGCAAGTAATTTCTTGAGGATTTTTCTTCCAAAAATATTCGATGAAAAAACTTTCATAGGTAATTATTACTTGCGGATTTTAGAAATCCCCAAGTTAGTTATCTGAAAATTTTGAATCCACATGTAAAATTAGCTAGGGATTTTAGATACGATTTTTTGGTAAAATATACCAAAATATCGCATGAAACTTTTGAAATTTTTTGACGAAAGATCGGAGTTTTCTTGCGGATTTTCCTAGGGAAATATTTGCAAGTAAATCACCATAAATTTTCAAGTAAATTATTTAGATATTTTTAGACAAAAAATTATGTTGTCATAATATTTTTATTTTCAGAATTATTTTCTTAGTAACGCATCCTTCCAAATATATATTTATTTTTGTGTCTCCATATATATATNATGTCTTATTACTATATTATTACTATGTAATAGTTACCCACTTTCTATATTTACTTGCTTTGTAAATCCCTGGACTTAGAAGCTTATATAATGTGGATTTTTACCTTCCTATACACTATTTGAAATCTTATTATCTTTTATACTCAAATTTTAATTTAATTACATGGTCATATACAATTTATCAATTATATACAAATAAGTTTTACATGAGTATCCCTTTATATTAGGAATTGAATAAGCAATATCAGTTATTTCCTTATCCCTTTATACTTGCCCACTCTCTCTCTCTTCGTCTCTATCTCGCGCCGTCTATGTGTCTCTCGCCGTCTCTCTACTCTCCTTCTCTGTTTTTTCCCCAGTTGTTTTTCATTTGGTTGTTCTCTGCTTTTTTATGCTTTCTTGTTGTATATAATTTTAATGAAATTCACCAATGGATTTCAATCATTTTAACTTAGTAATTTTCTTTCATATTGCACAATTGGTGTTCAAATTAAAATTGTCAATCAATAAATTTTGAAGGTGTTTGATTCCCCACCATTGACAGCCATTAAAAAGCTTTGAAGCCTTGAAATCGAATTTGAGTTTTTAAAAATTATTATTTGTTTGGATTGGGTGTTATTGCAAATAATTGAGAATATTGTTTGGAGTTTATATCTCAAT